GGGGCGGGGGAGGGCCCGGGAAGTGGGTACACTGTCATCGGCTCGGACCACCAACACCCTGATCATTTCTGCAAGTAGTAATGTCCTTCGGAAGCAGATGGAGACAACGCAGTCGTAAAAATAAGCCGGCATCCGCAAGAAAGCACACCATCAAAATCACCAAGGCTAGGCGGACAGAAAGGGAGTAGATGACGAAACCCACGATATCGCCCAAGAAGATACCGAGCTGAAAAAAAAAAAAAACTAATCGTTTCGGCGGAAGCCTCTCATCGGACTGCCTCCGCGAGATTAATGATTTTTATTAGGAAATAAAACAGGGAGGGGGTACGCAGACCCTATCCCTAACGCAACTTCCCCGATTGCATGCTTTATCCAACATGTGCTGCGAAAACGAAAACCCAGCGAAGGCTACCGCTCTCATTTTACCCCGTCCCAAACATTCAATACTAATTCATATGCATGTTAGAATCGTTTCGTGAAGCTTCTCATCTACCTCACCCTGTCCCAAAAACTTCAAAAAATGACTTCACGTTTATAATCCTTTCGGGGGAAACCTGTCATCTCACCCCGTCCCAGCCGACGACTTGTCCGTCAGGCCCGTAGCCCTGGAATCCAAAGCCTCCCAGCACGGAAGCCCCGTCGGCGGTCTTAAAAAGACGAAGGTGCACCACGCCAAGTCCAGGCATTTATTTCGTCGCGACAAGAAGGTGGGGGCCACACAGCATAAGTCAGGCAGTCACGCAGGCGGCCAGGTACAACAAGATCAACCATCAGCGAAAAAATGAGCTGACAGCGTAAGCACCTCACCGCAGAGAGCCGAAAGCAGGATCCCCGCTACCACGGTACGGTACGGCTGCCATGCTGCTTACCCTCGAAAGCCCAAAAGAAGAGACACGAATGAAATAGGTTAGGCCCTTTCAAAGTCTTGGACAACCCTGAAAGAAGGCTTGCTTGGGTAGTAAACAGTCAAACATCATCCTCGGGTGGATGGAATCTTGGCCAAGATAAAGATGTGACCCCCACCCCAAAAAGTAGAAATGTCTTCATGAAGACCGGTGTCAGATAGTCATCTTTTTTCGAAAGGTGTACTCCCCCCCCTTTGGGGGGCAGTTGGCTTGTGACCACGGAAGGCGTCCGCGTCAGTTGGACCAATACGAACATTAGAAGGTACTGCGTGGAGACCGGAACGGTTTTTAATGTGAAGAAAACAACAACAACAACGCATCTACCTACACGTGTGCCTGACATGGTAGATGCGTTGTTGTTGTTGTTTTCTTCACGTTAAAAACCGTTCCGGTCTCCACGCAGTACCTTCTAATGTTCGTATTGGTCCAACTGACGCGGACGCCTTCCGTGGTCACAAGCCAACCGCCCCCCATAGGAGGGGTTCATCTTTCTAAAAAAATTAAGAAAAAGAATGGTGTTCATCAGCATTACCTTCCAGGCGAAGAAGTACTTCATCCGCACGAAGAAGAGCGTGATCCACGCGTTCATGATCCGCTTGGGGATAGGCATACCTGCCACCTCCGAAGATCGCATCCCCTGCAAAAAAAAACAAACGTTAAAAGAGAAAACGAAACTATCGCAGGCTCTGTGGAAGAGACGACTTTGTTGTCTTGTTGAGCGAGAAAAAAAATAGTATTCCGAGTGAGAAACAGAGATCGTGTGGACACCAAATAGGGACATGTTACCATTTCGCAAGCGTCTGCAGCAGCAGACGAAAATAGCAACAACAAAAAAAAGTACAAACGGGAGAGCAAGAGCGTGGCCATTATGATCTTGTACAGCAGTAGTAGCAGGGCATGCAGGATGGAAGCAAGAACCAAGCCGAAGCTACTGCCACCACTACGCCCCCCTCTCCTAGCCGACTTTCAAACTTCGACTGTGCCACAAACAAGCGGGTGCGAAAAGAGCCCAATACGACCAACGAAAGCCCTCGACGAGATGTTTCCGAAACCACGGTTTTTTGGCGATGGCACAATCTTGGTTTGTGGAGCAACCGAGCCTTGAAAATCTGCCTAGGGGGCGTGCCATCTCCGCCTCCAACTACTGCGCATACCGCGAGCGGAGAGTAGCCGCTACCATGCGTACGACCGCGGTATGTTGCTTGGTTGGTTGTACCTCCCGCGAGCGGAAAGTAGCCGCTACGGCTACCGCATATTCCACACTTCGACCGTGGTACTGCCTCAGGCGGGTGCGGTGAATCGCAATCTCACGGTTTTGCCTCAGCGGCCAAGTGTTGTTGCACTCACCGTGAGCGGAAAGTAGCCGTTGCCGACCTGGAAGAGAGTGAGGCAGAGCATGCCCGACCCAAACTTGGACAGAGCGGCCGCCCAGTTGGAGGGCATCGGGTGTGGCTTGCCGTCCTGTTTGTTCTCAACCCACCCACAAGGCGCCGAAACGGAGTTAAGGTACCCCATATCCACACACCACGCAGTAGCGTCAAGATAAGAGGAAGCAAGACACAGAGAGACAAACACAGAGCGGTAGGCACAGAGAGGCAGAGACAGAGGCGGGACGGGCAGACAGAGAGAGCCGGGAGATAGAGGGGGGAGAGAGAGAGACAGACAGAGACAGAGACAGNAGAGAGAGAGAGAGAGAGAGAGAGAGAGAGAGAGAGAGAGAGAACAAAAGTGATCACGGCAAAAGCCAGCAGCAAAGAGAGCACCAAGGATAAGCTACTACTTGTGCAGCAAGACAAGCTGCGCGCGAGCGCGTGCGTGAAAATCGTGATCAACCACCTACAGTTCGTCAAACCAACCACACCCCAGCCGGTTGTGTGCCTGAAAACGTTTCTGACAAAGCTGCGTGATACGTTCGTGTCTTGGCTTATGACGTAGCACTCGTCCGTGAGCCCTCCCCGCACCGCAGGCTCCGCGGTCAGTTTCCAGGGTCAGAACCACGCTGTGCAAGGGTTACCTTCAACAACGGCATGCTCCCGCCTTTCAATGGCCTCACGACTACGGCGTGCACGACTATGAGTACACCTCCCCCCCCTTCCCCCCCGTTGTCTGTCTTTCTGTCTGTCTGTCTCTGTCTCTCTCTTTGCTCTCTCGCTCCTTCCCATCTGTCATTCTTTCTTGACCCCCCAACGATATCTACCGATTAGACATTCCGTCGAAGAAACCACGGGACAGCCTACACGGCCCCGGGACGCCGGAACGCATGCCTCCTCTTCTTCCTCAAAACCCCCAAACCAACCCCCACCCACACCCCTACCCCCACCTTCTCGTAAGCCTTGCCGCTGGTGGCGTTGGCGTACTCCTTGTACTCGAAGGCCGGGCCAGCGAGGATGGACGAGAAGCAGTAGATGTACCCGAAGAACTCGAGCGGATTGGGCATGGAGCGGATCGCGTAATCTCGCCGCGCTTTCAGCACCCTTGGGGGAACACACGCACAAAGCGGTGGTTCGTTTGTACCGCGGAGTTTCGGGATATGAGTACCATACAGCAAGGGTTGTTCCGAAATTCGCACAAAAACGGAAGAAGAAAAAAAAAAGTGAGGGAAACGCAGAACGAACACTTTGAATGGCACAACAGCATGCAGCATCTCGTTTGCTATCCGAATCGGCACAAAACGAATAAAAAAAAAAGCGAGGGAAAAGCAGAACCAACACATTGAGTGGCACCGCAGAGGCATGCATCTCGTGTGCTATCCGAATCGGCACAAAACGAAGGGGGGAACCAAAAGCGAGGTAAATCAGAACCAAAACATTTGAGTGGCACAGCAGTGTGCGGCATCTCGTTTGCTATCCGAATCGGCACAAAACGAAGGCAAAAAAAAGCGAGGCAAAAGCAGAACGAAAAATTGAGAGGTACAGCAGTGCAGCACACATCGTTCGCTATCCGTATCGCCATAGGAGGCGACAAAAAAGAGAGTGAAGGAACAGCAGAACGAAATCAGGTAGCGACAACTCAAAGGCTGTACCACACCATCAAGATTTACACCGTGAACTATCGACATTCCTAGCCAAGAACAAGACGAAACAAAGCCACCACGTTGACATACGCGCTTGTGGGAGAACCGCAAGAAGGTGCTCGAAACTACAGTCGTGGCTGCGGTATGAGAGGGTACCTTATAAGAGGGGGCTCCGATATAAGAGGGTCGAAATCGGTCGTCGCAACACCCTCAAATAACGGAGCCACAACTGTACAAGTATTGTTCTGTCTGTCTATTATCTCTCCCTCCCTGTCTGCCTCTCTGTTTTTCTCATGCACTCTCTCCCTCTTTCTTTTTCAAAATTATCTTCGTCAACGTTCAATAGCAAACACCTGTCCTTTCGCTTATCCCCGGTGTCCTTTTCGATCTCTGCCCACTTCCTACCATCCCACACGTTGTACGCGAAGGAGCTCAGCTTGATCGTCAGCACCATCTGGACAAGAGCGACGGCGACACGATACGGCACGGACATAACACAAAAAATAATAAACAAAAACGTTCCCTCTGTTCTTCAACATACGGACGGAAGTAACGACACGATCCGACACTAACAACAATGAAAAATAAAAATGAAAAGTGTTCTTCTACTCATGACCCGCACGAGTGTCCGCTGCATGAACACACCCGTCGGTAGCATGCGTTGGAACATATGTATCAACAATGTCCCCCTATTCACTAACATCGGCTTTAATGCGCATCAGCACGATCGGGTTGACGAGCACGGCGTGGCACGAACATGTACCAAAACACGTTGCGGCTCGGGATCCTTCCAACGTACGTCACTGTATCTTGGACTTGAACTTGCAAGTGAAAGAAACGAGAAAGCTTTCTATGCGACGCACTCGCGATAAGGAGACTTCGCCCCTAAGAGTGTATATATACGTATATCGTGCAAGACTTGTCGGACGTTATGCGGAAGATAATATCGTTGGGGTGTGGGTGGGGATGGGGGGTGAGATAGCCACGACCCAAAAACAACGTTTCGAAATTGGCGCAGAGATGCCCCCCCCCGATCGACGTTCAAAGCTAGATTGTTCCACAACCAAAAGCTTGTGCCACCACAAAAATGGCGGTGTTGGGAACATCTCGTTGAGGGCTTTCCGCAGAACGTCCCCGGGCTCTTTCCGCGCCCACTTTGGGCGCGAGAGCCCAATCGAGCTTTAAAATCGGGGGGCGCCATCACTCCACCTCTTTTACGGTATCGGCGCCGACAGTTCCTACCTGAGGGCCCGTGAAATCGAGGCTCCAGCCCATGTAGTCCACGTAAGCGCGGTAGATGTGCGACAGGCAGATGTACCCCAGCACGAAGGCGAACACCACGTGGGGCATGTGCCTGCAAGGTGAATGCGGGATGATTCGTGAAGGCGGCGACGGATGGGGTCAGATCAGTTGGTGGATTAAGGTGTCACGTGTTGACATGGGAGACTCGACGCTTGCGAATCTAGCCACTGCTGTGTGGTGACTGCACTGCGAGATCCCGCAAATGGCACCAACTGCTGTGGAAGGAGTGGGTCTCGAGAGGGCATATGCATACAAATCATCATCATCAGCAGCAGCAGCAGCAGCAACAACAACAATGACGACGACAAGACAAGCCACGAACATGAGAACGTCAACCTGCTGGGCACGAGGGTCTTAACCGCCCCAGGAGGAAAAGCATGGTACCCATGCCCGTGCACGGACGGAGCCCACAGCACTACTGTTGTTGTTGCTTCTCGTCCTTTGAATAGGACCCCCCGCGGCAGGCGAACTCAGGCACAAAGCGCGAGGCAAAGAGCAAGGGCAAAAAAAAAAGAAACAACAACCAAGAACAACAGAGCTGGGCCAGAGACCACGCATTCCGTCGTATAGGACATGTAAGCACTCAAAGAGCGAACTTCATTCAAAGAAAGAAGCACCCTCACAGGAAAAAACAAACAAAACTTTGTTAACCCATCCGGAGACACACAGAGAGACAAGGAACTCGGGAGGAACGAAGGATGGGGGGCGAAAACAAGGACCATCCTTATGCCCCACCGCTTCCCACACCCACTTCGCACGCACCTGTTCGGCAGCGTGAGGACCATGAGGTAAGTCGCCGCGGAGGAGATGAACGAGTGGATCCACTGCCCGTAGAACACGAACTGCATGATCCAGACCCCGAGGAAGGTGGAGAACAAATGCTTGGCGGCCGCGTTGGGCAGCCGGACGAACACCGCGGCCAGCGGGTAGGCCGTGAGCAGCAGGAGCACGTACTGTCCACGTCGAGTGGGGAAAAGCGGAGGGCGCGGAGGGTAGGGATTTGATCTTGAAGGTTGCCGAACAGAAGGTTCAGGTGTGGGTCAGAACGGATACACCTTGCGCTATGCGCATATACTCTCTTTGTGGCCCGCTGCCAGACGTGCTCAGCACTAGATACGGATCTGCGGAGAACTAGGGGGTTTCGCGAACCATGTTGGTGAGTGTAGCTACGGCGATCCCGTCCGTGGGGCCAGCGTGCCCCCTTCACTCCTTCATGACAGACAAGGTCTTCATGCAGCCTTTTCTTCGGACCTCTGACGACGATAAGCACCCACTACCCAACGCGATCAATCGAGGAAGGACCCCTGTGGGTGTTGAATATTCGTGTGGAGCTAGCTACACGTGGGTCGTGTCCTCACAGCTTCGGGCCACAGGCTACATACACCTTACCCGTGTCGCCACACGAGTGTGGAGCCACGGGCTACACGTTTTGTCCGTGTCTCGCCATAGGTTTTGGAGCCGCGGGCTATTCTCCTAGTTGCAAATACGAATCGCGCCATTTTCCGAGGCGATTGGTGCTCGTGCTTGTTTTTGGTGCAATGTGGAGGTGGGAAAATCTACCGAGGTTGCGGAATTCGAAGCCAGACTACCGTAGTACCCTCTGTCATAGACTCCCGCGGCGATCGCCTTGTGTGAAATCGTATGTACACCCCGGGGGTATCTCAAAGGTAGAGGGGCGATCTTTCTAAAACAAAAAAATATACCCGGGGCAAAAAGCCCCGGGGGGGGGCGTTGTCTCATTCCTGCTGGGATGCACCTTCTGAATAACACAACTACATCCCGTTCGACTGTGGGTATATCTCGAACGGGTAGTCTTTCTGTTTGCATTTGTTTTTCCTAATAACACAACGCTGTACAGCACTGACACCAACACCAAACCAACTACGGCAACCGGCTCACACACGATAAATGCTGCCACAACGGAATGCCGTCTGTGGGTCTGAGTGCGAACGCCTCGTGGCGCGCCCCAAAAACATGCCGAAAAACGAACTCCCCGGGGTTAGGTCCAAAGAGAGAGGGGGCGAAAAAATGAAAAAAAAATGAAAAAATAATACGCACCGTGGCAACTTAAAGGTTTTTGGGGTACCGTTGCGATTTTGGGGGGGCTATGACAGAGGATATTACGGAATACAGTGCCCCTCGCCGAGGGAAGCAGAGCCGCACAGACCGCGAAGGAGCTACAGAGAAAGCGCAGACAAGGCCTCACGTTGATCGAAAGAGAGAGAGAGAGAGAGAGAGAGAGCGAGAGAGAGCGAGAGCGAGCGAGAGCGAGCTGAAAAGGGCGTAAGAACAGCTTCGCCAGCAGCAGCACCAGTTTGATCATGTAGCCCGGCGTTGCCCGCCACCCCCGTCCCCCGCGCATACACACGACGATGCGTACCTCCCACAACCAATAGCGCTGTTACATCGCGGACGGAGCCGGCGTAACTGTCGGCGTCGTCCGAACATTGTGTGCCGCTTTCGGGTTGCGTAGATCGTCGTCACGCGGCCGGGAACATGATCTCTTCACGATCTCTGCGGCCACGTACATGTTCTCGAGAGGTCAGGTTCGGCAAGGAGAGACAAGTTTTATGTTCCATATTTCGTACGGAACTCAAGAATTATGATCCGGACAACGGCTTGCTCCAATTTCGGTTGCCCAGCAGCAGTGAGCGTGTTCAAGATAGAGTGAGACGTCGAGAAAAGCTCGCGTGTGTGCTCATCACCAGTGCACAGTGGTTGATGAGCACAGACGCGAGCTTTTCTCGACCTCGTGCTCCATCTTGAACACGCTCACTGCTGCTGGGCTACTGAAATCGGAGCAAGCCATTGTCCGGATCGTAGTTTTTCAACTCCCGACGAAATGTGACACAGAAAAAAAATTGCCTCTCATTGACGAACCTCATATCTCAAGACAACGGGACCGAGGAGATGGTGCAGAGATCATGTTTCGGGTGGCGTGCTAACGATCTGCGCAACCCGAAAGCGGCACGCGTGTCGACGACGCCGGCAGCTGCGTCGGCTCCGCCCGCTACGAAACAGCGCTGTGTATTCGTTGGCGGGGGTATGCACCAAGGCATGCGCGGGTGAGGTGGCGCTGCCAAAGATAAGAACCCACATTTTACACCATATTCTACACAAGATAACACCCCCCCCAGCCGTGATCATATTCTTTGCGCTTGAATAACATTGTCACCGGTCAGTTCCGTTTTTTTATCTGGGGGCGTGTTATATTCGGACACGGGGTACTTGATCCAGCAGTACTTTCACTTTGACGTTTTAAACTCATGTAGAGTCGCAAGAATATTGTCGCAGGGAAGTGGTATTCCGGTGGGGGGAGGGTGTTATCTTCCGTCTTTCTGCGACCTTTCGTGATGTACGGGGGACTATTATTATTGCTGAGGCATGACACGAACTCTGGCGCGGTAGGAGAACTACAACCGTCAGCAGTGTTGTGCATCGGCGATGAATCGGAAAAATACCACGGCCAGTTGTGTGTGCTGTGCTTGTGCGTATATCCCGCTTGACAACGGGCTCGGTTGCTCAGAATACCATCCCAGGCATCACGTAGATACCCTTTGGATTTGAGCATGTCCCCCAACATTCAAAATCCGCACATACATGAGGCGTGTCAGCCGCGTTGTTGCGTGCCTTTCATCTTTTGCTGTTCTCGAGCCGTACCCCTTGGCCCGAATGAAAAGGCGGGTGGACCAACCCCGTCGATAGCGTTGCGACAACTCCGCAATCTCTGCACCGGGAATCTTGCAGAGCGAGAGGGACAAGCCGGGAGGGTCGGGGGTCTCTGCTGCAAATGACTTGCTACAAATTGTTGTGGCGTAGATGATGAATCTGAGTGCACACGATTCCGTGGCGAAAAGCGCATCTACGAGACTGGGCGGTTGGAGGGCACCATTCGAGCGCCGCTGACCGTTGAGTGCTGACCCTCCAGTGGCAGAAGTCCCACTCTTCGCTGAAGCGTCGCCGACGAGCTAATGCTGTATTATACACCTCCTCGTGCCCTTGCGTGCACCACTCGACAACATCCCCGGCATCAATCATCATGGACATCATGCAGTGCATATGCAGTTGTATGATCGCAATGTGAAAGCAAGATTCAAAACCCCAATCACACACGCCGAGTGGACAGTCGGACGGACACAAACCTTCATGGTCCCTGCGTCCAATTGGATGGTGTCGGCCAGCTCCAGAGCCTTCGCGTCGAGGCCCTCTCCCGGGGTGACGAGGAACAAAGACTTGCTCGCGATCCACTCGTGCTCCTGGCACCAGCTGACGAAGCTCTCCATGGCGGCTGTCGCGACACCGAGCACGGGCGAGAGCACCTCCGGGACCTGCATTGTTGCAACGGTAGCAGCAGCAGCAGCAGTCGCACCGCACGCTCTAGCGCAAGGCAACAGACAGGTAGAGACTGCCCCCCACGACACTCGCACACCCCTGACGACGTGACTTGACGCCCCCAAAGAGGCACAACAATGGCACACAGCACACAGCACAGGCCATAGGCTGAGAGGCGGACCAATCATCAGACAGCAAAAACGTAATTGTCCCGCACCGTGCTCCCCATGATGAGGTATGGAGTATCATACACACGTGCGTATCGCACCCTCATTCCCTCTTGAACGCACACGGCAGGAGACCTCTCCCTTCCGAGGTAGTCACTCTCATGCTCCAGGGAAAGGAGGTGAGGTGATGTGTGTACCCAGCCGTGCTGTCGTCAATGAGGTGCAGTTGGGACGGGTATCAAACAGCACAGTCGGCCAACTACCGAACTGAACCAAACAAGCTTGGCTTCCACTGCTGTGTCCTGTGTCTTTCTGCTGGTGTGCCCGTGGCTGACCACTACAGCAACCACGCACACTCCTTGTTTTGAGGGCTTATGCGGGACGTTGTGTTGTGTGTAGAGTCGCATGCACGTTTGTTTGCCTCTCCTGAATCCCTTAGACTTTCTAGAGACAACTGCTGCGCAGCAGCAGCACCTCCGCGCCCCTTGTAAGAATTATCCGCATGAATCAGGGCAGCGGTGCAGCACCAGCGCTACAGATCCACAGCATAATGAGTAAACTGAAGCATTGCAGCTACCTACCTGCAGCTGTGGTTGAACTTCTTGTGGTGAACGGCTATCGATAGCTCGAGGTCTTTCACCCACGAGGGACAACCACCCCCAATCCCGCCGCGCCTTCGCCACTTCGGCGAGCCCGCCCTGTGCAACCACCTTGCTTTATCAGTATTTAGTCACGTGCTCCGCCACTGCCGTACAATTTTGCTCGGGCCATGGCAGCTACCGATGTTCTCGGCCGCTCGATCGCTGCTTACTCGTGTTGAGGACATCTTTTTTTCCCGTACGGCAACCAACGCCGTCGATCAAACCTTCAGACGAGCATTCATGGGCTACACTGCACCGAGTTTTACGATGCTTGCGAGAAACGAGAACCTCGTTGGTCGCGCTGGCGGCCCCCAAGACCTCGGACGCACTGCCATGAGGGCCAGAAGCTTCCTGCAGTTGGTGCCAGATTAGCGAACGTGTTCGGCGCCACACACACGGTTGTGCACGGTGCGCTTGAGGTATTTCGCTTGCGTTCCGTACAGCCAGCCCTCTTTCGGCAACAGCCCTTGCTGCTGCTGGATTTGCCTATCTCAACGGCACCATTTGTACGACATGGCGCGTTCTTGAAGCTACTACATTACATCGCTTGTGAAGAAGCTCCTGTCCCCGTGACCTATTATATGTTGAATTATCATGTTCCAAAAAACTCCTTTTCTGCCTGCAAACCTGCGGTATGGTGTGGTGCGCGGATTTTGACGGCGGTCGCGGTGGAGGTAGCTTCGCGACACATGTCTTGGGAGCGCAACCTCTGGCTTGGTAGCGAGGCTTCTCTGCCATCCTCTAGACACGGCTAAGGTGAGACGTTCAAGCGAAAGCTGTTTTAGCGGTTGCATTGCATTGTTCGATGGCGCCTCTCCCCCCCTCTTCCTTTCTCTCTCTCTCCCTATTTCCCAGCCCCACATTTGGCAATAGTGTACCAACGACGCCCCCGGTTGAAACCGAGCGGGGTGTCGGTGCCGGTCGTCAGATACCCAGTTCATTTTCTTCGCTTGCAGCCTGGTGGCCACCCTCTGTCCTATTTCTCGCCCTTCTTCGGAACTGACGCGCGCACCTCTCTATCATTGTGTATCGCGAGATCCTGAGTGGCGGTTGGAACGCCTGGACACCTCCCTTTTTCACCAGTCACGCGAAGCTACATACGATACATGAAAAACCCACACGCGCGGACTACCAAGTCCGACTCACGAACAGTTGTTGCGCGCACACCCGGCCATCTCATCCTCGTTGCGACTCCCTCAGTTGACCGTTCATTTTACGCCGTTACGCGCAATCATCTTACTTTTTTTTTTGCGCAAAGTTATCGCCTGCTCGGCAAATATCCCCGGGGTGCTTCCTCGCCACGCCCTATTATAGGCAGTCCAAGGGTTGAAATTGGGATGGACTAAATTGTCGTAGTAGGTGTGGGAGCGACCCCCCCCCCCCCCCCCCCNCCCCCCCCCCCCTACCGTGTGCCCGTCCCCGATTTCGTCGGCAGGCGCGCCTCCAAGGCCCCGAGGGCAGCTCGTTCAGGAACACTTGGCATGTCTTGCAAGCAACCATGGGGTGAGCGGGTGGGGAGGGGGGGAACGGGGGGGGGCGTACTCGTACTCTTATGTTTTGCATGCCTTAGCGGTTAGACCATTGACCACGCGTCCTCGAGAGGACGGTCCATTGTTCCCACAGGACCGATCACCGATGGCCAATCGTTCCTTTCTCCTTTACCAAAGGTGGCTCAAAAATGTCTTCCCTAGTCTGTCTAACCTAACAATATCCCTTCCCGCCTTTTCAACGTACATCCTTTGCCCCAGTACAGCTACCGTCCTTTCCTCTCTATTCTATGCCTCAAACATCTCTCTGTACGTCCCATCTATTTTTCCCAGCTCAGTCTCGTACACTTCCCTCTCCTTCTTGTACAACGGACATTCTGCGACTACATGAACACGGTCGTCGCACTCGAAGCCGCAATCACGTTTGAAGTCGTCGTCGCGGTCGTCTACCGTGCTATGTCTTCGTCGACGTTCTCGAAGGCCTATGTCCCCGGTCCTGAATTTGACCTTAAGCTTTGTTCCTGCATCCATTGGTCCATGTAGGTAGTCCTTGAACCCTATTCCTTCCTTCAACATTCCGTACACTTCTAGACCCTCCTTATCCTTGGATTCTTTCCTTAGATTCTGTTCTTGTCTCTCGGCACAAGCAACAGATACCTTCTCCTTGACCCCCTGTAGACCCTCCGTTTCCAGCGTTTCATATTCGTCGATGTCGAGCCCCTTCCATACGTCCTCTACAACCTTGACCCATTCCGTGGGTTGTCTACCCCTCTTTTTGTTTGCCCACTTCGCCTCCCATACAATCCTCGGCAACCTCTCCTCTCCCATCCCGCACATGCGATACTGCCAGGTCAGCTTCCTCGCGTCTCTTCCCGACCGTAGGGATTGGATCCCCAATTCTGCCCTCACGGCTGCATTACTTGTGCGCCTGGAGCATCCTAGGATGGTTTTCGCTGCTTTCATCTGCGCCGCCTCGAGTTCTTTCACTACCTTCTTATTTCCTTCCCATACTTCTCCGGCGTACTCTAGCGGCGGTACGATTACGCTCTTCAAAACCGTCAATTTGATGCGTGTATCGAGGTGCCGGTTTGCGAGTATTGGATGCAGCTTCCCTGCTCGTGATTTGCCCTTTTCCGCTACCTTGGACATGTGTGCATTCCACGAGCAGTCTTTTGCGATCTCTACTCCGAGGTATGTGTACTGGTCCACTCCTGCAATCTCCTCGATCCCCCACTTCTATCTATGTTCTACTGGTTCTTCCTTGTTCTCGTTGCACACCATGACGGCACTCTTCTTAACGTTGGCAGACAATCTCCACTT